ACTTTTCGGCCTTTGAGTTTCCAAGTTTTCGATGTTTTGATTTTTCAGTTTTGGGTCTTTCAATTTCTGTTTTTTTATTTTTCGATTTACGATTTTCCCATTTGTCGACTTTTTTTTTTTTAGATTTCTTGATATCTCGGTTTTTCGATTTTTAAAATGAATTTACTTTTCGAATTTTCGATATCCATTTTTTTACTTTTTCTTTTTTTCTTTTAATTCTTTGATTTTTTAATTTCAGACTTTTTAATTTTTCAGCCCCCAATTTTAGATTTTTCACTTTTTTGGTGTTTCGATTTGTCGATCTTTCAACTTTTTGACTTTCTCGTTTTCGGATTTTTCGATTTTTTTATTTTTTTGATTTCTATTTTTTTAATTTTTTGGTCAGTTTTTCGATCTTGGGCTATTTCGATTTCTCGATCTTTTGATGTTTCGATTTTTTCATGTTCAGTTAGTCGAATTTTCGTTTTTTTTTTGGTTTTTCGATTTTTCGCTTTTCAGTTTTCCAATTTTTTGATGTTTCAAAAATTGGGTATTTTAATTTTAGGTTTTTCGATTTCCCGTTTTCAATTTTGGGATTTTTCAATTTCCTGATTTTTCGGTTTTTCGATTCCCCAAATTATCGATTTTCAAATTTTCGATATCTTTTTTTACTTTTTCGGGTTTTTCAATTTTTGGATTTTTTTAATTTCAGATTTTTCGATTATTCAATTTTTCAGTTTGTAAATTTTAGATTTTTCACTTTTTTGGTGTTTCAGTTTGTCGATTTTTCAATGTTTCGACTTCCCGTTTTTGGATTTTTATTTTTTTTTTATTTTATTCGTTTAATTTTTTGGTTCAGTTAATTTAGCGTCAATTCTTCGATTTTGCAAATGTTCAACTTTTCAGATTTTCAAGTTTTCAATTTCTCTATTTATCAAAATTTTGATATTTCGATTTTTCGATTGTAAATTTTTTCAATTTTCGACATCCTCGATTTTCCTCTTTATCGTTTTTTTAAGTTTTTCGATTTTGGGCTATTTCGATTTCTGGATCTTTTGATGTTTCGATTTCTTCATGTTTCAATTTTTTGAATTTTTCTGTTCAATTTTTCAAAGTTTCGATTGTTCAATTGTTCGATTTCCTAATTTTTCTCGACGTTTTAATTGTGGAACTGTTAATTTCTCGATTTTTCAGTTTTTCGATTCGTCAATTTATCGATTTTTCAATACATATTTTAATTTTTTAAATATCTTGATTTTCAATATTTAAAATTTCAAGTTTTTCGATTTCTCGATATCTCGGTTTTTCGATTTTGAAAATCAATCCACTTTACGAATTTTCAATATCGCGTTTTTACTTTTTCATTTTTTTTTTTCATTTTTGTTTTTTTTTTAATTTAATATTTTTAGATTTTGCAATTTTTCAGTTTCTAAATTTTAGATTTTTCACTTTTTTTGCTGTTTCAGTTTGTCGATCTTTCAATTTTTCGACTTCTCGGTTTTGGATTTTTCGATTTTTATTTTTCATTTTTTTGGTTCAGTTGATTAGGTTTAAATTTTTAGATTTTCAGATGTTTTCAATTTTTCGATTTCTCGATTTATCCAGATTTCGATGTTTCGATTTTTGATTGTCCAATTTCCTGATTTTTGAATTTCTTGATTTTTCGATTTATCCTTTTTTTTTAATTTTTCGATCTTGGATTTTTTCGATTTCTCGATCTTTTGTTTCAATGTTTCAATTTTTCGAATTTTTGTTTTTTTTTCGGTTTTTTGATTTTTCGACTTTTCAGCGTTTCAGTTTTCCAGTTTTTTAATGTTCCGATTGTTCAATTGTTCGATTTTCTAATTTTCGACATTTCAATTTTGGGACTTTTCAATTTCTCAATTTTTCAGTTTTTCGATTCGTCAATTTATCGGTTTTTCAATACATAAGTATTTCGATTTCTTAAATTTCTCGATTTTTTTTTATTTTTTTAGGTTTAAAATTTTTAATTTTTAATTGTTCAAATATTTCGACTTCTCGATCGTTTAATTTTTACATTTCTCGTTAGTTTATGATTTTTCAGTTTTAGGATTTTTCAATTTTTCGATTTTTAAAATTTTTCATTTTCGATTTATTATATCTGGGTTTTTGATTTTTAATATTAATCAACTTTTCGATTTTTCCAGTGTTTCAAATTTTCGGTTTTTCAATTTTTTGATTTGCAGTTTTGCATTTTTTTATTTTGCAATTTTTCGTTTTTTGGAAAAATCAAAGATGAAAAAACGAAAAAGTATAAATTGAAAACTTTAAAAAACCTAAAAATTGGAAACCAAGAACTTGTAAAATTGAAGAAACGAAAATTGAAAAAAAGATAAATTAAAAATTGAGAAACTTAAAAATTGAAAAAAGTGCAAAATCGAAAAAACGAAATATATGCACATACGGTAAAAACGAAATATCGAAAAATAGAGAAATCGGAAAATCTGAAAATTGGAAATGCAAAATTGCAAAATTGCAAAATTGAAAACTTTTAAAAAGGAAAATCGAAACATTGAAAAATCAATGATTGAAAATTTGAAAAGTTGAATAAACGAAAAATTGTGATATAAAATCCAGAAAAAGAATTTTAAAAAATCGGAAAAATGAAAAATAAAAATCACGAACCTGAAAAACTGAGTAAACGAAAAATTGAACATTTTGGAAATCGAGAAATTGAAAAAATTAATTTTGAAAAAACGAAAAATTATGAAACCGAAATATTGAAAAATTGAAAAAATTGAGAAAACGAAAAAACGAAATATATGCATATATTCTAAAAACGAAATATCGAAAAATAGAGAAATCGGAAAATCTGATAATTGGAAATGCAAAATTGCAAAATTGAAAACGTTTAAAAAGAAAATCGAAACATTGAAAAATCAATTATTGAAAATTTGAAAAGTTGAATAAACTAAAAATTGTGATATAAAATCCAGAAAAAGAATTTTAAAAAATGGAAAAAATGAAAAATAAAAATCAAAAACCTGAAAAACTGAGTAAACGAAAAATTGAAAACTTTGGAAATCGAGAAATTGAAAAAATTAATGTTGAAAAAACGAAAAACTATGCAACCGAAATATTGAAAAATTGAAAAAATTGAAAAAACGAAATATATCCATATATTGTAAAAACGAAATATCGAAAAATAGAGAAATCGGAAAAATCTGATAATTGGAAATGCAAAATTGCAAAATTGAAAACTTTTAAAAAGGAAAATCGAAACATTGAAAAATCAATGATTAAAAATTTAAAAAGTTGAATAAACGAAAAATTGTGATATAAAATCCAGAAAAAGAATTTAAAAAAATCGGAAAAATGAAAAATGAAAATCAAGAACCTGAAAAACTGAGTAAACGAAAAATTGAAAATTTTGGAAATCGAGAAATTGAAAAAATTAATGTTGAAAAAACGAAAAATTATGAAACCGAGATATTGAAAAATTGAAAAAGTGAAAAAACGAAAAAACGAAATACATATATGCATATATTGTAAAAACGAAATACCGAAAAATAGAGAAATCGGAAAATCTGTTAATTGGAAATGCAAAATTGCAAAATTGAAAACTTTTAAAAAGGAAAATCGAAACAATGAAAAATCAATGATTGAAAATTTGAAAAGTTGAATAAACGAAAAATTGTGATATAAAATCCAGAAAAAGGATTTTAAAAAATGGAAAAAATGAAAAATAAAAATCAAAAACCTGAAAAACTGAGTAAACGAAAAATTGAAAATTTTTGAAATCGAGAAATTGAAAAATTAATGTTGAAAAAACGAAAAATTATGAAACCGAAATATTGAAAAATTGAAAAAAGTGAAAAAACGAAAAAACGAAAAATATGCATATATTGTAAAAACGAAATATCGAAAAATCGAAAAATCGGAAAATCTGATAATTGGAAATGCAAAATTCCAAAAAAGGAAAATCGAAACAATGAAAAAATCAATGATTGAAAATTTGAAAAGTTGAATAAACGAAAAATTGTGATATAAAAACCAGAAAAAGAAATTTAAAAAGTCGGAAAAATGAGAAATAAAAATCAAGAACCTGAAAAACTGAGTAAACGAAAAATTGAAAATTTTGGAAATCGAGAAATTGAAAAAATTAATGTTGAAAAAACGAAAAATTGTGAAATTAAAAAATTGTAAAATCGAAGCAAAAGGAAAAACGAAAAACTATAAGTTTTGATTTTGCCATAAACGTTTAGCAGTTTCAAAGTTAAAAATTGCAAAATATTGTTTTACAATTTTGATTTTTTTTTTCAAAAATTTGGATGTCTACGATGAAAACTCAATACGGATTCATAAATCACAAGTACAGGAGTATCTTACCTTATTAAATAAAAAAAAAATGTAAATTTTGGAGATGAGGTCATCCCATTGGTGGTGGGGATGATTATCTAAATTTTAGTTAGCCTTTTGATGTCTATATGATATTATATTCCTAATATACATAAAAAAATTGGCAACAATTGGTCCAGTAGTTTCGGAGATTATGTCTCTAATAAAGATTGAAACAGACGACAGACGAAAACGGGCGACTACTTTTTTCATTCTCTAGAGGTCATGAAACGTCGAGAAAACATGAAACTCGATTACTAGACTGGAGAAATGATAATTTTTTCAGAATACATAGAAGATAGGCAGATAATAAATAAAAGGAAACTAAATAATTAATTAAGACCAATAAGCGAAAAATACGTATTTTTTACACTTTTCGTCCTTTGAATCCATAATTTCACGAACCATAATTTGTTATCTCTATTAAAAATGAACCATAACTTAGGCACCCCTTTCGACATTTCACCAATAATTGTTCCGACTCCCATCCATTACCCTCTCCGTTCTTCCATAACCCCATTTCAATCTCACCCCATCCACTATCATTTTCCCATTTAGATAACAACCTCCACCCCATCACCGAAATAACCCTCCTCGCACCTAAACCCAATTCCCCAAATCACCACAATTCGACCCTCAATAAAACTCTCTCTTCATTCCAGAGTCCGGGCGACGAGGACAAAGACCTGCCGAAAAAGCCCCCCCTCCACAGCAAAGGCGTCGCGACGTCTTTCGGTTTCAAGCGTCGTCCCACCACCGCGCCGTCGATTGCATCCAACTCGAATGCAGCTCGGCGGCTTGCCAACGCGGATATCATAGACAGAAATGGCAACGGACACAGTGACACTGAACCACTTACCGCGAACATAGCGCCTACCGCCCGTTCGACGCCGAGGCTGATGCCCCCGAAGAAGGAGGGCATCGCGACGAGAGTCAATCGGTTCGGCTTCAGACAACCCCAGGCCAACAGGCTGCATAAAGTTTCCGATTTGAACAACGCCCCCATCGAGTTGTGCAACAATAACGTTGCCAGGGTGAAGAGCAACTCCGCCAACCAGAAGGGCAAGGGGGTGGTGGGCGTGGTGGTGGACAGTAACAAGAATAGGATGACGAAGAACGGGATTAGTCCGCCGCAGGTAATGAGAGTTTGGTGTGGGGGATGGGGAATGGGATTCTGTTGGGATCGATTGCGTGGAATGAGGTTTTGGTTTGTTGTTGGGGGTGGAAATAACGATGTTACGTCAAATAAGTTTCAATCGAATTTTGGAATTGTGGGTTTCGTTTCTGTTTTTTTTTTATTTCGCGAGAGTAAGCTATGTAAGGAAGAATTGTAATCGAGTCCATCGGGCAACTGGTTATTTTCATTTTTTTTTTTATAAATTAATCTACTGTTCCACATGTGGTTTCTAGATTCGTCTTAGTTTTTTTACACTAAGTATCAGATTTAAAAAAAAAAAAACAAAATTATGTAACAACATTCTACAATTTAACCTTGAAATTGCAAAATCGAATGCTTTGTAACCGTTAACCAAAATGTATTCCGTTCAATTTTTCGAATTATCTGGTTTTTGATTAAATTTTTTTTCAATTTGTCAATTTTTCGATATTTCAGTTTTGGGCTTTTTTAATATTTCGACCCTTTAGTTTTAAAATTTTTCGTCTTTTAGACTGTCCACTTTTTCCATGATTTTTATTCTAGATACTATTTCGATTTTTCAATTTTTGAATTTTTTTATTTTAGATTTTTGGATTTTTCAATTTTTCAATTTTTTTTTCGATTTTCTATTTTTTCGATGTTTCGATTGTTTAGTTTTCCGATCTCCCAATTTTTCAATGGCATTTTCAATTAACCCGGTTTTTCATTTTTTGATTTTGTTAAAATGTTACATTTTCAGTTTTTCATATTGTCAATTTCTTGACATCTCAGATTTTCGATGTTTAAAAGGAATCAACTTTTCGATTTTTCCATTTCTCGATTTTTACTTTTTCGATTTTTCAATTTTTCACTTTTTTGATGTTTCGGTTTCTCAATTTTTCAGTTTTTCGATTCTTCAGAACTTTGATTTTTCAATTATCGCAATTTCGGTGTTTCTATTTTTTGATTATTCAATTTCGAGTTTTCGGCTTTCGACTTTACAATTTTTCGATGTTTCGAGTTTTCAGTTTTTCTAGTTTAAGGATTTTTCTATATTTCGGTTTTTTAAATTTGAGGCTATTCAATTTCTCGACTTTTTTCACTTTACAGTTTTTCGATTTTTTGATTTTTACAATTTCGATTTTCTTTTTTTCGTTTTAATTTTTCGATTTTCTTAATTTTAGAATTTTCAATTTTTCGATTTTTTGGTGTTTCGTTTTTTTCAGTTTTTCGATTAAATTTTTGGAATTTTTAAACTTTAGATTTTTAACTTTTTGGATGTTTCGATTTCTCGATCTTTCGACTTTTCGCCTTCTAGGTTTTAGATTTTTTGGTTTTTCAATTTTTCATTATTTAAAATTTTGGCTTTTTTTTTAATTTTTTGGTTCAGTTGCTTTTGTCTCAGTATTTCAATTTCTCGATTTTTTTAAGTCCAATTTGGGGTTATTTCGATTTCTCCATCTTTTTGATGTTATCGATTCCTGGAAGTTTCATTTTTTCAATATTTTAATTTTTTGATTTCCCGATTTTTCGATTTCTCGATTTCTCGGTTTTTCGATTTTTGGACTTTTCGATTTTCCAATTTTTCGATGTTTCGATTGTTCAATTTTCCGATCTCCCAATTTTTCGATAGCATTTTGCAATTTCCCGATTTTTCAGTTTTTCGATTCCACAAGTTTTCGGTTTTTCAATATTTCGGTTAAATTTTAGGTTTTTCAATTTCTGTTTTTTTTATTCTCCAGTTTTACGATTTTTCCATTTTTCGATTTATCGACATCTATTCTTGTTTTTTAGATTTTTAAAGTTAATCTACTTTTTGACTTCGATATCATTTTTTACTTTTTCGATTTTTAACATTTTTCGATTTTATTAGATTTTTCACTTTTTAATATTTCATTTTCTCGATATTCTAAATTTTTGAGTTTATTTTTTCAATTTTTTGGTTTAGTTGTTTTGGTTTCAATGTATCCATTTCTGGATTTATCGAGAATCGATTTTTCGTTTGTCCAATTTCCCGATTTTTCAATTGCTCAATGTCCCGATTTTTCTATGTATCAGTTTTTTTTAAGTATTCTATTGTTTAATTTTTAATATTTCGATTTTGGGATATTTGATGTTTCGATTCCTTTATGTTTAATTTTTCCATTTCTCCATTTTCAATTTTCCAATCTTTCGATTTCCAATTTTTCAACATTTTAGTTTTGGGATTTTTCAATTTCTCAATTTTTCAGTTTTTCGATTTCTCAGTTTTGTGGTTCGAGGTTTTAAATTTTCGATTTTTCGATTTTTCCATTTTTCTGTTTTTTGTGTTTTCGATTTTTACTTTTTGATGTTTCAAATTAATTCTTCGGTTCTTCAATTTTTAGATTTTTCACTTTTTTTTTTGGTGTTTCATTATCTCGATATTTCGGGTTTTCATTTTTTTTACTTTTAAAATTTTAAATTTATGTATGTTTGAGTATGGTTTTTTCATTTTTTTTTGGTTCAGTTGGATTGGTTCCAATTTTTCGATTTATCGATTTTTTTTAATTTAAAATTTTTCAATTGTTAATGTTTCGAATTTGGGGTACTTTGATTTCTTGATCTTTTGATGTTTCGATTTCTAGGTATTCCAATTTTTCAATTTCCCAATTTTTCAGTTTTTTGATTCCTCAATTTTCCGATTTTTCAATATTTCGATTTTTTAAAATTGTTATATTTTCAATTGTTTGTATTTTCGTTTTTTTGAAATCTATTTTTTTTTTACTTTTTCAATTTTTTTAATTCAAGATTTGTCGATTTTTAAGCCTAGATTTTTTACTTTTTTATATTTCGATTTCTGGATGTTTCGAGTTTTCAATTGTCTAATTTCCGGATTTTTCAATTTTTTGATATTGGGGTATTTCGATTTCTCGATATTTTGATGTTTCAATTCCTCGATGTTTAAATTTTTGGATTTTTCGGCTTTTGAATTTTTCGGCATTTAATTTTGCGATTTGTCAATATTTCGATGTTTAAACTTTTAAGTTTTTCAATTTCTCTTTTTTTTGACTTTTCAATTTTTCGATTTTTAATTTTACATTTTTGATTTTTCCTATTTTCGATTTCTTGAGATCTAGATTTTTTGATTCTTAAATATTGCGATCTCTAGATGTTTCGATTTTTCAACTTCTCGGTTTTAGATTTTTCGGTTTTTCAATCTTCCAACTTTTCGATGTTGCTTAATTTTTCGATTTTCCAATTTTTCGTTTTCTTAATTTTTCAGTTTTTCGATTTTTCTCGTTTTTTTGATTTTTTAATTTTTCGATTTTTTGTGTTTTTAATTTCTTGATATCTCGGTTTTTCGATTTTTAAAATGAATCAAATTTTCGATTTTTTCTTTTCTCGGTTTTTACTTTTCCATTTTTCAATTTTTTGATTTTTGATGTTTCGGTTTTTCAATTTTTCGATTTACTTCAATTCTTCGATGTTTTAATTTTAGATTTTTCACTTTTTTAGTGTTTCGATTTCTCGATCTTTCGATTTTATATTTTTCGGGTTTTCATTTTTTTAAGGTATTTTTTTTTTATTAATTTTTCGAATTTATTTCGATGTCTCCATCTTTTGATGTTTCGATTTCTCGGTTTTTCGATTTTCCAAATTTTCGATTTCCCAACTTTTCGATTTACCAATTTTTCGGCATTAGTTACGGAATTTATTAATTTCTCAATTTTTAGTTTTTCAATTCCTTAGTTTTCCGATTTTTCAGTTTTCAATTTTTTAAATTTTAGGTTTTCCATTTCTCGTTTTTTTGATTTTTCAGTTATTCGAAATTTTAATTTTTTGGTTATCCGATTTCTCGATCCTTCAGTTTTTGAACTTCTCGGTTTTAGATTTCTCTGTTTTAGATTTTTCGGTTTTCCAATTTCCTGAGTTTTCGACAATCCAGTTACGGGATTTTTCAAAATTTCGACTTTTTTAAATTTTGTATTTCAATTTTTCATATTTTCGTTTTTTCGAAATCTAATTGTTTGCTGTTTCGAGTTTTTATTTCAATGTTTTTCGATTTTTAAATTTTATGTTTTTTACTTTTTTGTATCGATTTCTGGACGTTTAGATTTTGCGATTGTTCAATTTCTCAAATTTTCAATTTTTCGATTTCTCAAAAATTTTTCAACATTTCGATTTCTCAACAATTTTTCAATATTTCGATGTTTTCAATTTTAGGTTTTTCATTTTGATTTTTCAATTTTTCGATTTTTGATTTTTCCATTTTTGATTTTTCCATTTTTCGATTTTTTTTATTTTCGACTTCTTGATATCTAAGATTTTTTGATTCTTAAAATATTGCGATCTCGATGTTTTCGATTTTTCGACTTCACGATTTTAGATTCTTCGGTTTTCAATTATTCGATTTTTAAAGTTTTTGATTTTTTATTTTTTCAATTTTGTGGTTCAATTTATCGATTTACCGAGATTTCTATGTTTCGATTTTTCGGTTGTCCAATTTCCTGATTTTCGATTGTCCATTTTCCCGTTTTTTCGATTTTTCACTTGCTTAGTTTTTCGATTTTTCATTTTTTTAAGTTCTATTTTTAATTTTTCGATTTCTCGATATTTTAATTCCTCGATTCCTCGATCTTTAAATTTTTCGATTTTCCAATTTTTCGACATTTCAGTTTTGTAATTTATCATTTTCCCAATTTTTCAGTTTTTCGATTCTTCTCGTTTCTTTGATTCTTCAATTTTTCGATTTTTAAAATTTTAGATTTTCGATTTTTTGTATTTTTGATTTCTTGTTATCTCGGTTTTTTGATTTTCAAAATGAATAAACTTTTCGATTTTTCTATTTCTTGGTTTTACTTTCCCATTTTTTCAATTTTATCCCTTTTTTGATGTTTCGGTTTCTCAGTTTTTAAATTTTTCGATTTTTTTAATTTTAGATTTTTGACTTTTTCGGTGTTTCGAGCTCGATCTTTCGATTTTATATTTTTCGGGTTTTCAAATTTTTAATTTTTCGTTTTTTCAGATTTTTGGTTCAGTTGGGTTGGTTTCAATTTTTTGATTTATTGATTTTTTTAGGTATTTTTTTTTTAATTTTTCGAATTTATTTCAATTTCTGGTTTTTTTACTTTTCGGTTTTTCGATTTTCCAAATTCTCGATTTTTTAATTTTTCGATTTACCAATTTTTCGACATAAATTCTAGTTACGGGATTTATTAATTTGTCAATTTTTGGTGTTTCAATTCCTCAAGTTTCGACTTTTCAGTATTTAAATTTTTTAAATTTTAGGGTTTTCGGTTATTCGATTTTTCTGTTTTTCGAATTTTTAAATTCTATATTTTTCACTTTTTCAATTTTCAATTTTTTAAATTTTTGATTGTTGATTTGTCCATTTTTCTTTTTTTTGTATTTTCGACTTCTTCATATCTTCAACTTTTTAATTTTTCCATTTCTCAGTATTTACTTTTTCGATTTTCCAATTTTTCGATATTCTAGTTCTGGGATTTTTCAATTTCTCAATTTTTAATTTTTCGATTCCTCAATTTTTGAATTTTTCATATTTCGATTTTTTAAATTTCAGCTTATTCGATTTCGGGTTTTTTGATTTATCAGTTTTTCGAATTTTTAATTTTTCACCTTTTTGATATTCTTATTTCTCGATCTTTAGATTTTTCGACTTCTCGGTTTAAGATTTTTCGGTTTTTCAATTTTTGTCGATTTTTAAAATGTTCAATTTTTCATTTTTCAATTTTTCGATTCTTTAATTTTAGATTTAAAAATTTTTTTTTACTTTGAAGATTTAGAATTTTTCGTATTTTTTTATTTTTTGGTTCAGTTGGGTTGGTTTCAATTTTTCTATTAATCTTTTTTTTAAGTTTAGATTTTTCAGTTCAATTTTTATGTCTCGATCTTTCGATTTTTCGACTTCTCGGTTTTAGATTTTTCGGTTTTTCAATTTTTGTCGATTTTTAAAATTTTCGATTTCTTTTTTTTTCAATTTCTTCATTCAGTTGAGTTGGACTTTTTAATTATTCAATTTTTGGAAGTTTTGCTTTTAAAATTTTTCGACATTACAGTTGGGATTTTTCAATATTTCAATTTTTAAAATTTTAGGTTTTTTGATTTTTCTTTTTTTGATTTTTCAATTTTTCGAAAAAATATATAATATATATATTTCATAGTGTTGGCACTTGTACGGACCCCGTTCCCTTTGAATTTACTCTATTTATCTTTTTTTTTAATGCAAGAAATTAAGAATAAAAAAAATCCAAAACTAAATGGAATCAAGTTGAAATAAATTTTATGCTGACGTACATTAATTAATCATCTCATCGCCGACATTTTGTAAGTTATGGACACACTTCCGGACTTTGTTATTGTCGTACGTGACCCCCATGAAAACCCATCCATAATAAAACACCACATCGATACATTGATTCGTTTTTAATAACTTCAGTTTATTTCAAATCGTTTTTTTTCCAGGCCGAAAAATTCATGCTCCAGTCGACCCAACTCCCCCGCCCTGAACCCATCCGCGTCATAGAAACCAAAACCGCCAAAACCCTCGCAAACAACAACCGCCGAATAGCCTACCACGAAGACAACTCCTCCAAAGAGGGCTCTTTAACCGAAGACTCCGGCGTCGGCAGCCAATTCAGCGCCGAAACCATGCCCGGCGTGGAACGCTTAAACTCCTCCCCGACCTACGGCGCCCGCCGCAGTTTCCACAAAACCCGGAACCTCGAAATCGTCAAATCCGGCAACACCTTCGACGTGCGAGACCTCGACGACTCGTCCGAAAGTTGCGCGCCTTTGCCTCAGTTGCCTAGTGCTTTCAGCACAGCGGACAATTCCCGTGGGTACGTACCCCCCAACCATTACCACAAACACCCCAACAGTTTTTTCCAGGAACTTCTACACCTCCGGTTTCGTTCGCGAGAAAGCTCGGGAGTACCAGAGGCACCTCGACGACAACAGGCGGAAAATTTCGGTGACGTCGTCGGAGGGTTTCAGCGACGACTACGCCGACGAGGAGAAAACGTTCAAGGATAAGTTTAGGAGCGAGAAAACTTTCATAAAGTCGAGCGCGCACAAGTTCCTGAAGTCGAAGCCGGCGGTGAAGGACGATTCGAGTCCGCCGAGCTCGGACGAGCACGAGTGGGCACATGGGGGCGAAGCCATGGCGGACGAAGTGAGTTTTTCGATAAGTTCGAGCGACGAGAGTAAAGAGAAGGACCAACCTCCTGTAAATACGGTCCCGGATATCGCGGCGACCATCCAGAATTTGATGAACGCGTCCTTGAACTCCCCCAAGGATATTAAGAGCATGTTGTTGACAATCGAGGATCCGAAATTCGCCGCTGTTGCCGCCGCCAGTAATTCGAGCTTGATGCTGGACGACGAAACGTCGCCTGTTGATAGTTTGATCAGTTACTCAGAGTCTGAAGAAATACTCAAGAAGAAGCTAAACCGAAGCTCTTCTAATTCTAAAGATATTAACGAGAAGCTAACTCCTCCGAGTCCTGGAACCCCCACGAACATTTCGAACTCGTTGTCGTTGTCAGACGGGAAAGACGACTTTCTGATTGATGACGAAATTGCCGATCAGCCGGCCCTGGTTTTTGAAGACACTCTAGTAGCAACCAATGACGGGTTCAGCATTTCCCAAAATAACTCAGAAAGTACCAACACAATGGTAGACTCCACCCCGAAACCCAAAAGACGGACTTTTTTGGGGGTTGATGGGAGTCCAATCTCCTCAAGGAAGAAAAAATCGCTCCATAGTAGAACCGGCTCTTTAGACACTTTATCACCATGTGAGAGCATCGCCAGCGACGACTTGATGATGGACTACGACTACAGTCAAAGCAGTGGCGTGGAGGACGACAAGTAAGCACACCACTAAATTTCCAAACCCAATTTTTGTATTTTTTAATAATTTAATTTTTAAGGAACGACAACCATAATCACGGTTTTCTCTCTTTGGACGACACCCTGATAAGAAAAGCGGAACTTGATGATAGTGGAGGCTTGCGCGACTGGGCGAGTTTGCTCGGGAATTACACATCGGAAAAAAACTCAAAGAGGTGAGTCACCACCTATTCCCGGTCTTGTAATAAAAAATGTATGAGATAATGACAGGTTGTGGTGTGTGGTAATTAAAAACGTCCGAGTCGCTAAAAAACGCGATCGATTTTCAGCGTCACGTCAACGCATCGATCGACGAAAAAAAGGGTCTATTTCAGTCGTATTATTTTGGTGCACTTCCGTTTGGCGCTTCCTCTCGTAAAGCGGCTTAATGGTGATTGTTAATTGTAGACAACAGTTGACGGACGAGTTGTGAGATTTATGAGAGTTTTAAGGCTCTTAATATCAAATGTTTTGTAATTGACTTAGTTCAAAGGGGTTATTTTTAACTTTTCAAAAGATTGGGAACGCGGAAGTGGATCTTATTAGGTGCAGGTATTAACCCTGTTATTTTCTTTGATGGATTCTATTGATTTTTGCTATAAATGTCCGGTTTAATTTACTTATTGAAAGATGTTTTGGGGTTAATGCCCCAACAACAGGTAGTCGTGCTATTATCAGAAGGTGTGTTAAAATGTTTATTCAAATTTACGCGATATAACTAGGAAGTTGGAACTAGAATTACTGTGTGTCTACTTGGACAGGAAACCGGAACAAAATAACTTGGTAAAATTAAATACTTAACATATATAAATACTACGTTTAATCATTTTTTCGGAAATTTAGAAATCTCAAAAAACTGTCAATTTATTATTATTCATGTCATATTTAAAAAAATGTTGATAGTAAAGCAAATAAATATTCACGGGTAATAAATAACAAGAAATTTATCATTATAAGTAGTTTGAATGTTTAAATAATTTATTTTTATTTGAATGTCTACTCCAAATTAATGAGGAACAAAACTAGAATAGAAAATACAAGTTTGTCTGATAGGCAACCAACAATACTTCAACACATGATTTAATTTTATTTTATTTTCAAATAAATGGTGTACATAAAGTTAAAAATGGTTAAATCACAGCTATAAAAGTATGGCGTGCTGCACTTTCCAAAAGAGATTTATTTAAAAATATTTTGTGTGACGTCAGCAGTTTTTTGAAGAGGATGAACATAGAAAATGTATTTTGACTGTCTCCAAATTAATCTGAAGGTACAATTAAAATCTTGAAGTAATTGGTTCAGTAGTTTCAGACGCATTTCTAACAAGATTCAAAGAAACGACAAAAACCGAAAGCAAGATTTAAAAATATTCGATTTAAATTTTTTTTTTTTTTATTCAAGAAGGCGATTTTGGAAAAATGGTAGAAACTATCGAATAAATGAGGCCGAAACTACCTTCTGGAGGTCAAAATCTTTAAGCAAATGTCTTTAGTTAAATTTCAAAAATTGTCGAAAATTATGCGAAATTTTCAGAGTATTGAAAAATTTTGCTTTTGAATAAGTTGCCAAAAGTACCAAGAAATTCTGGCATACTGATTTCGCCATGCTGATTCCAAAAACACGGCATGTTTATGCTCCCGGTGCAAAATTTTAAAAAATATTTTGGTTGAAAATATATTTTTTTATTATTATTATGTCTTATTATTTTTTAATCTAAAAAATTGCAATACTTCGGTCGACGATTCTGGAAAAATGGTTGGAGCCATCGAAAAAATGAGGCCAACACTAACGTCTGGAGGTCGAAATCTATAAGAAAATATTTTTAAAAATAAAAATTGAGCGGAATTTTCATGGGGAAATATTTTGCTTTTGCAAAAGCTGACAAAAAATTTCCAAAAAATTCTGAGCTGAACTAACTTCTGGAGGTCGAAATCAATAAGAAAATGTCTTTCGTTAATTTTTGAAAACTAAAGTTGGGCAAAATTAAAAAAAAAATTTCTTTTGAAAATTTGAAAAATTTTGCATTTGAATTTGAAAAAATTGAAAAATGTCCAAAAAATCTGGGTTGTAGATTTCGAAGAGCTGCTTCCAAAGACATTGCAGGTTTATGCTGTCGTTGAAAAACCTAAAAATATTCGGTGTGAAAATATCTATATATATTTTTAAATCCAAAAAACTGCAGTTGCGATTCTAGAAAAATATATACCGGGAGCCATCGAAGAAATGAGGCTGAAAGTAAATTCTGGAGGTCGAATTTTATAAGAAAACATCTTTCGTTAGATTTCGAAAATTGAGTGAAATTTTCATGGGGAACAATTTTACTTTTGAAAAAGTTGACCAAAAATTCCTAATAAATTCTGGGCTGTAGATTTCGACGTGTCGATTCTAAAAAAGTAGCGTATTTCTGCCTTAGGTGAAAGATTAATTTAAAAATATTCGGTTTAATTTTCTTCTTAATCCAAAAAATTTAGTTAAATTTCGAAAATTGTCCGGTGCAAGATTCTGCTTGAAAAACAATCGAAAAAAACTGAAATATTTAATTCGCTAAATTTGGAAAAATGCGGCCGAAACTAACTTCTGGGAGTCAAAATATGTAAGAAAATGTCTTTGGTTAAATTTCAAAAACTGTCTAAAATTGGCCAAATTATTGAAAAATTTTTCGTTTAAAAAAATTAACGAAAAATGTCCAAAAATATCTGGGATGTAGATTTCGAATAGTTGATTCCAAAGACGTTGCGTGTTTATACTGTCATTGCAGAACTTAAAAAGTTCAGTGTGAAAATATAAATTTTTAAATCCAAAAAACTGCAATATTTTAGTTGGCGATTTTAGGAAAGTGGCAGGAACTATCGAAGACATGAGGCTGAGTCTGAATTGTGCAAGTCGAAGTCTGTAAGAAAATGTATTTAATTAAATTTCAAAATTGGCCGAATTTTTAAATGGAAAGAATCCAGCTTTTCAAAAAGTTAACAAAAAAATCCCCAAAAAATTCTGGGCTATAGATTTCGAGGTGCTGATTCCAAAAACATAGTGTATTTTTGCTCTCAAAGTGTAAGATTTAAAAATATTCCTTTGATTTTTTGTTTTTTTTTTAGTCAAAAAATTTGTATTATTTCAGTGAACAATTCAGGAAAAACGGTAGACGCTATCGAAAAAATGGGACCGAAACTAATTCTAGTTCTTTGGTGGAATTTCAAAAATTGTCGAAAATTGGCCCAATTTTTTTATATGGAGGAGTATTGAAAGAAATTGCTTTTAAAAAAATTCCCAAAAAATTCTCAGGTAAATTTCGTGGTGCTGATATTCCACAAGATTTAAAAATATTCTGTTTGAAAATATTTTTTTTAATCCAAAAAATGAGGCCGAGACCAACTTCTAGAGGTCAAATCTTATAAGAAAATGGTTCAGTTAGATTAAAAAAAAAAATAGTCTAAAATTTACCAACATTTTTGAAAAATCTTGCTTTTGAAAATTTGAAAAATTTTGCATTAAAAAAAATAGTCAAAAAGTTCCCAAAAAAAATCTGGAAAAATCTAAAAATAGTGCGTGTTTATGATGTTGTTGCAAAATATTCGTATTTTAAATCCAAAAATTTCCTATATTTATTTGGCGATTCGAGAAAAAAAAAATTGATAGAAGCTGTCGTAGAAATGAGACCGAAATTGAATTTTGCATGTCGAAATCTATAAGAAAATGTCCTTAGTTGAATTTAGAAAATTGACGAAAATTGGTCGAAATTTTTATAGCGGAGAGTATTGAAAAATTTTGTTTTCAAAATATCCCCAAAAAAGTCTCATATGTAAATTTTGTCGTGCTGAATCTAAAAATACTTTGTAAATAATAAATTTTTTAGGCCAAAAAATCGTCAAAAAGTGGTCGCTTCTGTAAAAGTGGTAAAAATTATCGAATAAAAATGAGGCCGAAACTAACTTGTGGAGATATTAAAAACTATAAAATAATGTCTTTAGTTAAATTTCAAAAACTGTCTAAAATTGGCCAGAATTTTTGAAAAATTTTGCTTTCGAAATTTTGAAAAAATTTGCGTTTGAAAAAAAATCTGTGATGTGATTTAATAAACATGTTATGTTACACCACAGATTTTTTATGTTTTTGAGACCATAAATATAGCATGTTTATGCTCTGAGAGTGCAAGATGTAAAAATAGTCCTGTGATTTTTTTTATTAAAAAATTTGCAATATTTCAGTGAACAATTCGAAAAAATGGGGCCGAAACTAACTTCTAGTTCTTTCGTTAAATTTCAAAAATTTTCGAAAATAAGGAGATTTCGTCGTGCTGATTCCAAAAATATAGTGTTTATGCTCCCGGTGCAAGATTTAAAAATATTGTTTAAACATATTTTTTTAATCCAAAAAATGGGGCCGAAATTAACTTCTGGAGGTCGAAATTTATAAGAAATTGTTTAGTTAAATTTCAAAAACCGTCTAAAACTTGCCAGAATTTTTGAAAAATCTTGCTTTTGAAAATATGAAAATTTTGCATTTGAGAAAATTGTCAAAAATTCCAAAAAAAATCTGGAAACATCTAAAAACAGTGTGTGGTGATGCTGTTGTTGAAGACTTAAAAATATATCTCTAATGGGAAATGGCTTTCGTTAAATTTCGAAAATTGGCGAAAATTTCCTTGGGGAGTGTATTGAAAAAATTCACAAAAAAGTGTCATATGTAAATTTCGTGGCGCTAATTCAACAATATAGCGTGTTTATGCTCAAAGTGTAAGATTTAAAAATATTCTGTTTATAAGAAATATTTTTTTAGTCAAAAATATCGCCATATTTCAGTGATCGATTCTGGAAAAATTTTAGAAACTATGGAATAAGTGAGGCCGAAACTAACTTGTGGAGATCAAAATCTATAAGAAAATGTATTTGGTTAAATTTCAAAAACTGTCTAAAATTGGCCAGAATTTTTGAACAATTTTACTTTTGAAAATTTAAAAAATTTTGCATGTGAAAAAATTGTCAACAAATTCCCCCAAAAAATCTGGGATGTTGATTTCGTCGTGGTGACTGTTAAAACAGTGCGTGTTTATGCTGTTGTTGTAAGACTTAAAAATATTCGGTTTGAAAAAATATATATTTTTTTTTAATCTACAGAATTGCAATATTTTAGTTCGCAATTCTGGAAAAATGTTAGGAACTGTAGAAGACATGAGAAC